ATGCATGTGTAAGGTCTTCTTTCTTGTTTGTGTAATTCAGTGACCTGAAGAAGGGCTTAGGCCCGAAACGTTGTCAATAAATTTTTGGAAGAAAAGAAGAGCTTCTCACTCCCATACATACGAACAAGACGTTAACAGTATTGGCTCGAAGCTAAACAAGAACTCAGACAAGTAATGCCGTTCACCTGTAGGTGAGACTGCAGATTGGTGGGAGTGGTCGCCTGTGCGAATTATGACGGTCTCATCACTCTCCTCCCTCACTTCCGATCCGTCCGATTGTGATAGCGTCTGATATTGTCGCCGTTTGTGAGATGGAAATTCTATACACCAACGAGAGTTGAAATGTGTCCCCAGAGAAACCCCCAGCGAATTTCTTTCGATGATGAGTTCTAAAACTTGATTGAATGAAGTATGAATTAAAGGGACGGTCCGCAATCAGGTATAAAAGTTGGAAATATGGCGTCGGGAGGGGGCTCCGTGGAAAAACTCACCCATGCGCGTTGCGGCGCGAATTTTGACGTCACCGCGGCGGCAGGGCGAAGCGAAAGGCGATGGCCCGCGCCTCCGCCACTGTGCTCCAAGTCAGCAGCCGCTTTTATGTGGAAGGAAAAAGAGGACAATAGAGAGAGAAAGATGGCAGGTGAGTCAGTGGTAGTGGTGAGAGAATACAGAAAAGTCGACTATCAGGGCGAATTACTTCAGCAAATGGCAAAACTGGCGAAATAGTTCCCTTCGATTGTGAAAACGACGCAACAGCTCTTACGCAAACGTTTAAGGTGAGGTTTGGCAAATTGCCAACAGTTGGATGTGACCTTATAACGGTATAACGGTAATCGAAGGGAACTATTTCGCCTGTTTCGCCATTTACTGAAGTAATTCGTCCTGATTTTACTTGAAGCAATTTCGTCCTGAGGTCGACTGTTCTGTACTCTTCAACACTACCACTAGATCACTAGTACGCACCCACTGATTTGTTCGGCCCTCTTTTCTCTTCTTTTCTTTGTTCCAATAAAAGCGGGCTGCTGTATTGCCAGCACGGTGGCGGCGGGAGCGATATCTGCTTTTTTCGTTTCTCCCTCGCGCGTGTGACGTCAGAACGCGCCATAAGCCGAGTGATTCGTCCCTCACGTGAGAGGCGTAGTATTGGAGGACGTAGGTATTGGGCACGTATAATGCTGGATCGGAACGGGTAGTTCTATTTAGTGGGCAGTTGGCGTGTTTGTTTCTTGTTTTTTCTTCACTGTGCGATTACTCAGCGCTTTTCGTCTTTTGGGACCTATCACTTCTGCGATGGTGATAGCGAGCTTCACCTTAAGATCCATCGATTACACTTCAAGTTCAGAGCACAAGTCAGTCATGCTTTAGAGCTTTCCGTAGATCGCGGATGTTTTTTCGGGCTCCGTTATTCTGGTCTACTGTGGCTAGTGTTAGATCTTACTTTTAATAAAAAGTTGGATCTACTGTCACATAAAACGTGATTGCTTCGAGTCTTCCGAGCAAAAACTTGGCGGTAAACCAGTTCCGAAGATTTCCCTCGCTTCAGAGGTGGGTGACTACCTACACGCGAATCTTCCGACGAAAACCATTCCGACTGGTTGAAATGACATGTCGGCTGCATTTCTCCCAACGACACAAGGCCATGAAAGAAACGTGCAGTCAGGAAAGCTATTTATGTCCATCCAAGACAAACAGACGTTCACAAAACATCAGCTGTCTCACGTTTTGACAAAGAATTATGCTTCATGCGGACGAACGACGTATTCGAGGTTAGTTATTTCTGTCTCATCCGCTCTGTAAAGGTCTTGTCTGACCCTTCACTGCCACGGTCGTGATGCCCTGTCTCAGATTCTTTGGACAAAAAAAATTGCAACCGTTTACAGTGCTCCCATCAACATTGTGATGTCGTCCTAAACCAGCAAACTTTCAAAGTTTAATTAACACGTTGACGACCGCGCGGGTTTTTACTTTTTCGGCCTCGTGGGACACGCGCGCTTTCTCGAACGCCACAAGCGCGGTACGCATACAATTCACGCGGTCCCACGAGGCGCTTTTTTTTGGAGATTGGATCGAAAACCTGGTTTAGAGAGCAATTATGAAGTAAGTCAATCAGTCACTATGGAAAAAATTAGGCTGGCCAACTCTCGTTGCACTAGGTGCCAGAAATTTTTCTGTATTCAATGTTTTCATAAAAACACACGTCGTGCCCACTATAGGATTCAGGATCTTTCATCTCATTATTTTTTTATCAATATCAGTATTGTATTTGTCTGTATTTGCTAGTAAAAAGTTGAAGAGCAAACCAATCCAGTGTTGAGGAGCAAACCAATCCAAGCAAAGGGTGTTCTTTCCCCAAGAATTCTTTGCTAAACTAGTGTGTACTGAACTATTCCATGGACCACGCGTTGTACGAGTATACTAAGGACTGAACTATAGAATGAATAGAGAAACTAAACAAAAAATCATGCACTAGTGAAAGATATGGATTTGTTGATCGTGATTCGTATTCAATGCACGCGGTCCCACGTGGCCTACAAAGCGTGCATTCAATGCGTATCACGCGGTCGTCAATGTGTTAATGAGCATGGGGCTCAGGGCTGGAACTGAGATTCCGACCCTAGAAAAAGGCCTAGAGAACGTTAGGGCTCATTATGAAAGCGGAAGATGAGAGCGTCGGTTATTCGATTCTCCTCTCAGAGTACATAGGAAATTTACTAGAATTTTGCCAGAGTCCCGACATAAGAAATGTAGTCGCGGTTCGGCTTGGTATGGGCACTGAAAGATACTGACAATGAGCTCAGCCTGTACAGTTCAACTTGTGAAGATCTCTGAATCTCTTTATCTGCAGCGGCTCACTTGTACCACATTGCAGCTTCACACGCTTACGGGGACCTGTTTTTGAGATGAAATAATCGAAGGAATCAGTGAAAGAGCAAAATGCCCCTCCGAGCCGAACAGCGCCGAAGGGTAGA